GGATAGAATCAAGGATATGGGATGCTGGGGATATGATGCATACAAAAGGTACATCTGCAAGAACCCTCATTAATCACGCCTTGTCAACTCTTTAATTTCAGGTTACCCTGTGACTACATGGATTGTGGGACACTGAGAACCAGTGTGGTGTAGTGGTTAAGATCGGTAGACTCGTAATCTGGTGAACCGGGTTCGCTTCCCCGCTCCTCCACATGCAGCTGCTTGGTGACCTTGGGCTAGTCACACTTCTCTGAAGTCTCTCAGCCCCACTCACCTCACAGAGTGTTTGTTGTGAGGGAGGAAGGGAAAGGAGAATGTTTGCCGCTTTGAGACTCCTTCGGGTAGTGATAAAGCGGGATATCAAATCCAAACTCTTCTTCTTCTATATCCCCCACTGGGCCCATGTGCGTGCCATCTATACCAGCATAGGTAGCTGCCTGGGGCTTCCAGAATAAGTCAGAGTCTCCTGGATCACAAGGCGTGGCATGAAATGGGAAGAGTTTATGCCAATTGTGACAGCCAGAGCTATCTAGCATGGCCCACCAGACACTTTGATTGTTGAACGTGGAGAGAACAATTTGGTTCTAAGGAAGGGCATTGTCCTAACCTGGAACTTCAAAGAGGACTGTGATAAGCTGGCTGCCTTGTACCCAGACTTTAATCTGGTCCCAGCTTTTGGAGAGGCATTGTTGGCATGACCGCCCCCACCCGGCAGCAATAAATGGCCAAGAAAATTGCTAATTGTACGGTGGCAAGGAGATGCAACTATTGAATAGTCAGGTGACACAGTTCCCCACCAATACTTTTGACCAGGAGGCCTTGTTTTGCAATGATGGCGTTCAACTTTCCAATATGGGAAATGATATCGTTAAGGGCATTAGGGATTGGTTGCAGGTGTGAGGGTGTTGGCAGCAAGCCTTTGGGGCTCAAGTGGTGGTTAGGCATTGGGTAAGTCTTGTTCACTGGATCTGGGGATATGGTTCCTGTCCGAAGCCTAGGCATGGGCTAGGGCCATGGCACGACCCCATTGGGAACCCTGGAGGTGCTCTTAATTGATGCATATCATAGGGCTCCCCCACTGGTGATTGACCCTTCAGAGACTTTCTGCAGATGGGCAGGAGAGTCAGGTTATAGTCTGGTTTCACCCAATACCTAATCCAAACCGCTCACATCTGTAACCAATAAAGCTGTGGCCTTATTTATCCCATTAACTCAAAATATTTGTGTCTGTGTGTTTATTACCTAAGGGGAACTGGAGACCCCAGGGCCTCGCCATACAACTGCATGCAGAGTGAATGCATGAAGAAGTAAGCAAGATTGCATTCTCTGTCCCCAGCCACCATGAAAGTCAGAATGCACAGCTGTATGCAGAAAGGTTCTGTACACACAACCGAGGAAACCGTGTTTTGCAGGGTTCTTGATCACACACCAAGAACCTAGGCACCTATATGTTCAGGTTCTATTCACTCCTTTAGTTGGGCAGGTTGGGTGCTTTTCTTTCCTCGTGTTTGTTCTTAACATCCTTAATCATTTGTCAAATATTAACAGCTAAGTCTGCAGGGAGATGTTTTCACATGCTGCTGTGTGTACCAGGCATTCCTTCCCTGTGAAAAGCATTGAGAAACTGAGCCAGGAAGGAAGGAAGGAAACAGGCAGACAGACAGATCAATACCCTTTAAGCAGGTTTTCAGGAGCTGGGTTGCAGATCTAGGTGTGGTGTTATTTTAATTGTATGATATAAAATATTATCTGGTTTTTGTTACCCAGCCTGAATTCACAGTTAGAAATCTAATGAATAAAAAGCCTTCATAATATTTTTCGTCTTAAGTTTCTTGCCTTCCTTGATGTTATCTGTTTTCTCATGACTTCAAACCCTGTGATGAGCATTTGTGCACAGAAACCAGACATTTGGGGAAACTCCAGAATTAAATTTGAATGAAAATGCCTGAAAGTAAGGATCTTAAACGTATAAGAGCAGTCCAGGATGTAGCTTGAAATGGAGAGGGTGAAAGCCATAGAGATTAAGAACAGATGGATAATAGAAGAAAGGGAGGAAATTCTGCTCAGGAGAGATGAACACCTCCAGGCTGCTCATCTCCATACCATGGGACCCCAAGTCACTGAAATTGCTTTGGTTTACTACTCCAATTACTATTATTAGGCTGATTTTCAGCATTTTAAAATGACACGGGCCCTGTGCAGTTTGTACTTTCAATATGCTCCACTGGCAAGTTTTAAAGATGGGGGGGGAACCTGGGGCTCAGCTCTAATCTCTCCTTGCCCCCCCCCTTAGCTCAAGCTCTTCTTAAAGCCCCAGAGAGCTGCCTGGCCCAAATGTTAAACGGAGCCCATTCAGAATGGATGGCAGCTAACTGTGATAGTAAAAGTGTGATGCACATTAGCAATGTCTTCTGCCTAGCACATTGTTCACAGCTGATTTATTTCTTACTTCTGAGAAAATTTAAATGGTTTTTATGCCCAGTGAACTCATCACAAGATGGTATCTAAAGTCAGCAATATTCCATCCAGGAATTGATGGGCAAAAGAGTAACATGCCTGTAAATCTCTGGAACCTTTCACAGTAGGTTATCTAGATGATCGCCAAGGAAATTTTATTAGTAACCACGTGGCAACATCTGAAGATAATTTATGGCTGATAAAGCTAAGAAGGCTGTATTTGTAAAATAGGACTGCATTGCACATTATCAAAAAAAGAAGATGAATTTTCAACGGAGTATCATCTCTACATTTGGTGTATGAGGAATCATGATGCTTTGGAATGCTGCAATAAAAAGGTTTCAACAAAAAGGAATGTCCGCTTTGGTTTTCATATGTTTTCAACCCAGTTGCTTGGTGACCAGTTTCTAGTAACCAACATTTTGTTTGGACTTTTGTGCAAATCTTAGAAAACAGATTTTAATTAGACTCCCATGCAATTATGTTTGGATATCCAGATGTGTCTACACAGATCAACTTACATTAATTTATACTTTTTTGACTTTAAAGGGCATATGCATCTAACCGTCAAATTAATGTTAAAATTTAAGTCCGTAGTCCTGTTGATAGATTATGGACCAGATTCAACTAAACTGTTCCACTGGTGGGAACTAGCGCAAGGGTTCTCACTAGTGCAATGGGGCTCCCCCTCCCTGCTCCCCAGATATTCCCCCTCCCTCCAATCAGCTCTCAGGGATTGCGAGAACCCCCAGAATAGCATGTGGAGCAAGGAGAGGCAAGGTCCTTCCATCGGTCAAGCAGGAATGCTTGCATTGGCAGAAGAATCTTTTTACCACTATGCTGAATTTCACAAGCTAAACTGAAGCTTGTGTAGAGGATTACAGCCATAACCTCTGAACTCTATGTTTTGGAATTCAACAAACCAGTTAATTAAGCATAGTTTGTCAAGTTCAAATGATGTAGCAAAGTGGGATTAATCTAAAATGGAAGCAAAATGTTCCAAACTTCTCTTTGCAGCTGAATCCAAAGATGAGGAGCATATGAATTTGAGGCTCCCCAGGACTCATTCTCATAGCACTAAACATTTAGCATTATGTCTGAACCAGTCTAATCACACTGCTAGCATTCACTGTAAGCATGAACTTCACCAAAATATTGTAGTCACCTATGAGAAAGCGGGGTATATGCACAAAGCCACATTTCAGAGATCCCTGAAACATAACAAGGATCCCAGACTTTGCACTATATAGATTCCTGATCCCTTAATATTTACAAATCTAGTTCATTGTAGTTGCTTAAAGCTGCTACTAGTGATCGTTTCCTAAAAGTGTGAATAAAATCTCTTCTGTTTTTACTCTCTGGCCATGGAGAATTTTTAAGAGCAGTAGTCACCAGATGGCACTACTATACTGTAGGCTGATTCAGTGTTACACTGGAGTAGGGTATCCAAAATCAGTGGGACTGTATACAGTCATCTCTGAGCTATCTAGGTGTATAAGATTAAAAGCCTTTGTCATGCAAGTTTTATTGTTAAAGATTGAGCACATCGGTGAGTGAGATCTTTGCAGCCAGTAAAATAATTTGTCCCCCATGTTAACCCCTGCTCAGTTTTTGTAGGAATATTCCTGAGGCATTCAAATATTGCAGTCGAGTGATGGCTGCAAGTACACCTGCTAGTTTAAAAGGATAAACACTGCCAGTTGGAATATGGATTTGGGAGAGGATGGAATAAATAATGGCCCTCTTTTGGGTGAGAGACAGCTTCTCCCCTGCTGTGCCATATTCCTTGGCACAGCTACAGGGGAGGTGCCCAGCCACTTCCATTGCTTGCTAAGGCACTAGATAAACAAAGACACATGGTGATGACTCCTTTCCCACCCGCCCTGCATGCATTCAGAGGAGCCGCCAATGTCTGAAGGCTAACTTCCTTAAGAAACAGCATGGTCCATCCATGATGTCCTTGATATGAGTTCTATATCAGACAATACCTCTGTGAAACAGATCTCATTAAATCAGACCAGCATGATTACAGCCACAAAGGAGTGATGAGGAGCAGTACCTTGGTCTTCCCCAATGGAATGGTTCCCGACTGAGCCTAGTAGACTGGAAGTGGCCAGAAGTGTGAGAGGAAGAAAGACTGGAAGACCCCCAACCAAGTGAGAAAGTCAACCTCTTGGTTGCTTGATTTGTGATATTTACTTCATGTGGTTGCTGTAGGGGTTGTGGTTGCTGTCCTTATGGTACGGTTTGATTGTAATCATTCAGTGAAGAGAAACCTCTGACTTCTGCAGTGTATAAACTCTGTGGCTTAGTGAATGCCACAGCATGTCTAACTACAAAACGAAGCATTAGCATTCAAAATACAATGTTTAGAGCATCAACATGCGGATGTAAAAACAGCAAGTAAAAAGGACAAGTAATTTGGAGTTTACAAATTACAGAGAGGCAGCCATGTTAATCTGTTGCAGCAAAAAAACAGAACAAAAAATTGTGGCACCTTAAGGACTAACATATTCGTTAGTCGACACAAAATTTAAAAATTCCTTCCAGTAGCACCTTAGAGACCGACTAAGTTTGTTATTGGTATGAGTATTGAGTATGAGTATTGGTATGGTATGACTTAGTTGGTCTCTAAGGTGCTACTGGAAGGAAATTTTTATTTTGTTTCGACTATGGCAGACCAACACGGCTACCTACCTATATTTGTTAGTGACAGATCAACACTTTAAAGAGTCTTGAGGCAGCTCCGGAAGGAAGGAAGGAAGGAAGGAAGGAAGGAAGGGACTCTTTCCCTTGGTTTCCTGCACTGACCATAGTGCAAGCCACGGAGGGGGAGGCCGTCATAGATAGATAAGGCCCTTTTATTTCCAACCTCTGGGAATCTCATGGGAAATCTCACAATCCCTTGAAAGGGAGCCTGCCTTGTCTACTGCTACCATGGTGCAGATGCTATTGGGAGGTAGACGCCACTGTCCCCCTCTAAAAAGAGTATCTGATTAGTCTTCCTTTGCAGAAAGAGATGTAAAAATCATAATGTAAAATAAATAAATGAAATGCTACTCCTGCTTCGTTTTCAAATATATTTATTTTTTCAAAAAATAATTTACAAATAAGGAGCTGGGACACTGAATGAAATAAGTGTGTGAGGGTTTTGAAACACATCTTTACACAATAATCACATGGTATAATGAGCATTATATTTTTAAAAAATCTAAATTACAACTATATTGCCACAAAAAAATTGCCAAGGCCATCTTAGAAGAGAAGAACATATATTTTTCATTTAACAATTGTTATAAGTACTACTCTTACAACAGTAAACTGAATGGAATTCTAACATTAAAAGGACAGCATTATATATTTGATGACAAGAAGCTTCAAATGCATGATTAAATATATTTGATTTTCCAGTATAATTGCAAAAGCAATAAAATAGAGGTCTGCTTTCTTTAAATACACACTGTAAAAATGTATACAGTGAAGTCAAGGTAGCTAGGGAAAGGGCTATCTGCTCCCCAACTGGGATATAATAAAATAAGGAACATCTTTACCACAACATAGCTTTGTTTACTATATATTTCCCTCCCACTCCCAATAGCATAACTGAACAGTGTGGACTAGCTAATGGCAGAAAAAGCACAAGAAAACATTTAAAATGCAGTCTTTTGGTGGTACATGATTTCTTCCAAAAAAAGCACAGTCATGTTTGTATTTGTATTATATTAGGTCAAATTTATTGTCCAGCTAAAGACAGAGCACAGAAAAAGTCTCTTGTGAAGCTGTGATCATTTAGCATTTTGTTCCAGAGCAGAGTACTCCATTTCCGATACCCTGGAAGTATCGATTAGTTTGGTAAGGCCTGTTTTGGCAGAGTACTTAAAGATGAACGCCTTCATGAGCTCATACTTGTAGTTTCGGTTGATGAAGCTGTAGAGTATGGGGTTGACGCAGCAGTGAACCAGAGACAAGCACTGAGTGACATGAAGAGCCGCAAAGAGGAAGCTCTCCATCTGGCAGCTGAAGGGAAGGAAATGGAAGGTCAGCAACAAGTCAAGCAAGACCACGACATGGTATGGCAGCCAGCAGACCAGAAACACAATGACATAGGAAAAAATTATTTTCCCATTGCTCTTCCTCTCTTGGTCACTAGAGGCAGATATGGCTCTTGCCAGGAGACAATAGAAAATGGCAATGATGGGGAAAGGAATGACAAAACCTAGAATGACAGAGCTCAGTTCCATGCTAGCCAGCCACTCCTTAGCATTCTCCTCCGGGTAGACAGGGCGGCAATAGGTCTCATTGTTGGAGGAAACGGTCTTCAGGTAGTGGGTATCGGGGATAGACACAAAGAAAGCAAAAAGCCAGACAAAGATGCAGATGCAACGGCGGATCCTCTTCTTTTTAACACTGCTGGAGGTTGTGAAGCAGGCCACTGAGAGATATCGATCCACGCTCATGCATGCCAGGAAGAAGATGCTCCCATACAGATTGATGGAAAACACGAGGTGAGTGATCTTGCAAGTGAGCTCTCCCATGTGCCACTGGCTGTGCTGGACAAGGGAGACCACCCAGACTGGAAGGGTGATGATCACACACAGGTCGGCAATGGCTAGATTGAAGATATAGAGATGAGTTTCGTAGCCAGTTGTTTTGGCTTGGAAGTTCATCCAGACAACCACAAAATTGGCCACTAAGCCTATCATAAATATAAAGATATAAAAAATGGAGAGGGTGTAAAGCAGGGCATTTCTGTTGAGCATAGCTGGGCATGATAAGGAGTCCACAGTGATGCAGTCTCCACTGCCACAAGTCAAGTTGGTTTCAGTGAAATTCTCCCCTTCCACATGTTCAAATAGGGTTGGCAAATCAATGGTATTCATAGCTGGTCGATCTGGGATGGAGGCAGCCTAAGGCAAAACAAAGCAGCAAGAAGAGAAAGGATAAGCATCTTGGTTAACAAAAACAGCCATTTTTAAACAAATGCCTTCATCCCAAATAACCTTACCACCAGTCCAGAGACAATTTGTGCACTGAATGTTTTGGTTAAGTGGCATCTTACACGACACCCTTCAGATTTTAAACAAACTACCACCATTGCCATAAAAATATTCAGAAAACAGTAGAAAGGAAACATTGGCATTTTGTACACTTTTTCTTTAAGTGATAGTTCTGCTGCACTGCAGTCTCTGGCTGTAAGATATCAGGGTTAAATAACTGCTGGGTGTCTGTTATCAATAACTTAAATCATACAGCTCTCAATATAACCAATGTATCCTATCTGCTTACCCTAGTAGTTTCAATACTACAATTCTAGGCTAAAAGGTTAGCCTGCAATACTCAGGCTTCCCACTAGAATAAACCCATCAAAGTGTTTGAAAATTGCTGGCAAACACTGTCATCCCTTGCTTTAAAGGTAAAGGGACCCCTGACCATTAGGTCCAGTCATGGCCGACTCTGGGGTTGTGGCGCTCATGTCGCTTTACTGGCCAAGGGAGCCGGCGTACAGCTTCCAGGTCATGACGCCAGCATGACTAAGTTGCTTCTGGCGAACCAGAGCAGCACACGGAAACGCCGTTTACCTTCCCGTCGGAGAGGTACCTATTTATCTACTTGCACTTTGACGTGCTTTCAAACTGCTAGGTTGGCAGAAGGGAACCGAGTAATGGGAGCTCACCCCGTCACAGGGATTCGAACCGCCAACATTCTGATTGGCAAGTCCTAGGCTCTGTGGTTTAACCCACAGCGCCACCTGCGTCCCATCCCTTGCTTTAGAAAGCACTAAAATCAAATCTTGCTGGACGGGGCCATCAGTTTATAGTGTTCAAGGCATTTACAATTTTAGTGGGATTTTTGATGAGGCTGCATAAAATTGAGAACTGTAGCGCAATGTTTGCCCAGTAAATCCCCAAACATTTTTTTCCTAAATAACCTTGGAGAAAGACAGCAGTCTTTACATTAAGTCAAGTAGCGGTTTGGGATGCCATTAAGGGTGGCAAGACTGATGACAGACAGATCTGATCCATGACATTTTCACTGGAAAGTTCTTCTGCATGAGTTGTGTAGACATGAAGAGGAGCTGGGCAAGACCACAGGTGTTCATTAGTGGAAGAAGAGGTGCCATTTATATTTCATTGTATGAGGCATCATCGTGCCTTGGGTTGGCCCTAAGCAATTTGAAAAGGCAAAAGTTACTGCTTCAGAATTTGATATCTACCTACCGCAACAGCCATTTGATTTTCCACACCCTTTACCACATTTATTATGAGGTGATGGTGGCAGCAATTATTTAATGTATTTATCTTGGGTTCTCTTGGCACAGACTGAATGGTTTGGCAAAATGCTTTTTTACAGTATTAGGATGTTCCTTTCCACACAAAGAAGTTGTGAGAGCGAATGATAAGAAGGAACGCCTTATCTGGATACAAGTACAAATTTAGAGAACCCAGTTATGTGACTGTTCTCACTACTTGCCCAAGGTAAAATACACTAGTCAGAAGGGGAATGCCTGGAGGTTCTTTCCCCACAGATTATAGTCAAAAACTACTGGAAAACGATTGATAAACTACTGATAAAATTATTCAAATTTATGTAGCACTTTCAAAAACTATTTGTGCTGGTGATTATTAGAACATTCTGCAGCAACTATATTCATAGACCAATTGCACACTTTGTGAAAAAGTACTCACACTTGCTTCTCCCAAATTTGCAGGCAGTTAATTTCCTGTGCAATAGATGACCCTGTGCAATAGTGTTTTGATGAAGACCAGATTGGTTTTTATATAGTTGGTCTTCCTTTCCATATCATTTATCAATGATAAAACTTTTTTTTTACTTTGATTGCTTTTCTGACATTTATATCCGACCATTCCTCCATGATGCAGCTAGTGGACTCACAACTGTCCATGAAGGCGCAGGTCAATCCTGTATCCAGGGAAGCTGTCTACCCACTCCACCTGGTACGCAGGCTGAGACCCTCCCTACCTGCGGACTGTCTTGCCAGAGTGGTGCATGCTCTAGTTATCTCCCGCTTGGACTACTGCAATGCGCTCTATGTGGGGCTACCTTTGAAGGTGACCCGGAAACCACAACTAATCCAGAATGCGGCAGCTAGACTGGTGACTGGGAGCGGCCACCGAGACCACATAACACCGGTCTTGAAAGACCTACATTGGCTCCCAGTGTGTTTCCAAGCACAATTCAAAGTGTTGGTGTTGACCTTGAAAGCCCTAAACGGCCTCGGCCCAGTATATCTGAAGGAGCGTCTCCACCCCCATCGTTCTGCCCAGACACTGAGGTCCAGCTCCGAGGGCCTTCTGGCAGTTCCCTCACTGCGAGAAGCCAAGTTACAGGGAACCAGGCAGAGGGCCTTCTCGGTAGTGGCGCCCGCCCTGTGGAATGCCCTCCCACCAGATGTCAAAGAGAAGAATAACTACCAGACTTTTAGAAGACATCTGAAGGCAGCCCTGTTTAGGGAAGCTTTTAATGTTTAACAGACCACTGTATTTTAATACTTTGTTGGAAGCTGCCCAGAGTGGCTGGGGAAACCCAGCCAGATGGGCGGGGTATAAATAATAAATTCTATTCTATTCTATTCTATTCTATTCTATTCTATTCCATTCCACATCCAGGCAGGTGCAGCCTTTATTTGTCTCAGAGGCCTCAGGCTTCCCACTCCTCCTTGATGCCAGTATGGAGCTGATATAAATCTTCCTCCACAATTGGGAGGGGGGGGTTAAGAAAAAGCCGGAGGGGGCAGGGTCTCCACCCCTCCTTCCCTGTATGGCGAGTGATACACCACTTGCACTGCAAGTCTTAAGCTTGCCTTTGTGAGAAAGGCAGACTTTACCCCACAACACACTGTTTTTAGCTAGACTCCACTTGCTGAAATATAGGTTTTAATACTGCACATAGTCTTCTAAATATGGGTATATTGTACGTAGATTGTCATGATGCAGTGGTGTGGCTTGCTCATTTTTCTAGAAAAATGTGCATAAACGTTATGGATTAGGCAGAAATTCAATAGGTGAAGCTTTTTCACAGAACAGAGGGACAGTGGTGGTATTTTATGTAGTCAGAAGTGGAAAGGATTACTGTGAAGGCTGGAAGTATATGAGAAAGTGAGGAACAGGGAAGTACCACTGAGAGCTAAATATGTAAAGAAAGAAAAAGACTTACAATTGAGACTTCTCCAGAATGCTTGGCATTTCTTTCAGCTTTTTAAGCATTTAGAATAAAACTAACTGAATCTCACTGCTATAAATATATTGGAACTGAAAGATCTGAAGCAGCAGTTATTACGAGAATCAGTCAGGATGAGAAATGGCTAAAAGCCTTCAGAAACTGCTCTTTTCTGATTTAACAATGGTTTTATCTTTGAGCAACTCCAGCAGGTTGTCTTATCCCCTTGTAATCATTTACATTGGCTCAGAAGAGTTCTGAAAATTTAAACTCATGGCACTGAAACCAGAATCCAGCCCTTCTCCTTCATTCATCTCAGATCTCCTTTTGTGGCCAGTCTCTGTGCTGCTATCAGACGGTGGTGGCAACAGACCTACCAAAGCCTAAAGAGAGACGCTAGTACAGTGGTGCCCTCTGGGTGGCACTGTGCCAACATGAGAGCAAGCGCCTCATGACCCCCAAGCTCAAAGACAGAAGGCGACCATTTCTTCACACCAGATCTCACTGCATTCCAGGCACGTGTGCCCAGACACAGAGGCTAAGATGTACAGTTGGGTGCCTTTCTGGCCTTGTGGCACAATCACACTTTTGAGCCTAGTTTGAGTGGGGGTGGTAAGACTATCTCCAGCCAGGTGTATTTCAGTTCCTCAGGTAGGTGGACATGCCACGCCCCCTCTCCACCCAGCAACTTTCCACACTGGCAGCAGTTTAATCAAACAAACTGCTCTCCAAACTCAGGATACTTTAATGTATTATGGGATGCATGAGTCGCTGAGGAGTGCATGGTATTCTAGGATCTGGAATGTGCCTACACACAGAGGGAGATGCTGTGATTTGTGCTCCTTAGAGCTTTTCAAAAGAATGCCTGCCACTTACGTATCAGAAGGCAGAAACTTTTAGTAATGTTGCCGGGCACTTCAGAGCTTGGGTGGGGAATCTTAGGCCTGGGCCTGAAGGTGGCCTTCCAGGCCTCTCAGTATGGTCCCTGGGGCTGTTACCAGGCCACACACCCCATGGCCGTGCCCCCTTCAGAAGCCCTGCTCTGTAGCTCACTGTGCTTCTGTGCAACTGGAACGGGCTCTTGGACTCTGGGTTGCCTGGAACGGTGGGGGCGATGTGAGATGGAGTGTGCATGCTGGGGGTGTTTATAGAAACCACTAACATTTCTTGTACAAGGTAAGAATAATACCTGTCACTCTACTCACCACTGTGGCCTCCAGAAGGCTGCCCATGAAGGAACATGGCCCTTAGGCTGTAAAAGGTCCCCCACCCCAGACATGGAGATATGGAAGTCAAAGGACTGGTTGAAAATGACCGCATTTGTTTCTTCCCTTTGAAAACATACACAACCCAACCACACCTTTAAGAGTTAGATTATGCATTTCCAATACAGTCGTGCCTTGGTTGTCGAAGGCCCTGGAACTCGGACGTTTTGGCTCCCTAACGCCGCAAACCCAGAAGTGATTGTTCCGGATTGCAGATGTTCTTTTGGAACTCGAATGTCTGACAGGGCTTCCATGGCTTTTGATTGGCTGCAGGAGCTTCCTACAGCCAATCAGAAGTCACGATTTGGTTTTCAAACATTTTGGAAGTTGAACGGACTTCTGGAATGGATTCCATTCGACTTCCAAGGTACGACTGTACTTATTTCATGCAAAGTTGTCTACACCCGATACCCCTGTTTGGATGGTTGCCAGGCCCAACTTTTACAGAACTTGCCTATTGAACTAGTAACCTGCTCCCTTCTCTGCTTACTCTGGCCTGTGGGGCAGCGTTAATTTGATTTAGCAAGCAGTTACATGTGGAAGCCAAGAAAGTACTTATCTGGCAGCCTCCTTTTATGAACATCTCAGAGCTCCCTCTTCCCCATTAAACATCACCCTCCCTCGTAATGGAAAGTCTGGCAAGATGGCCAAGGCGTGCTTCTGCAGACCGACCAAAGACCAAATGAAATCAGCAACACTGGATAAAGCATCCTCCTCATAGCATCAGGAAGGACTGAATCTGCAGCCATCAAGAGACTGCTTTGGGAATGCATGCTGTGGACAACTGAAGCAAAAGAGAAGTCTTCTGAACAGAAGAGGGCAGTGAAAAATTGTGGGCAGCTCAGATGTGGTTATGTAGGAGGTACAAAACCATGACCAGCTGCTTTCTTTTACTCCCTGCCACAATTCAGTTAGTTATAATGAGAAACGGCCCTCATATTGTCAAGGTAAGGCATGGAGCTGGAAACTCAACCCTCTCCTCCTAGGGGTAGAACCACGGCTGCCTTCCATCCACCTAAGAAGGAAGCGGCTAATAGGAGCTATGCCTTGTCGATCTCAAGATTGGAGTATTGGAGTGCCCTCTACGTGGTATGGCTTGTGAAGAGAGTTTGAAAACTGCACCTGGTCCAGAATATGGCAGCATCACCCAAGTTACCCACGTCACAATGGTGGACGCATGTTACATCTGTCCTTAAAATACTACACTGGCTACCGGTCAGGTTGCAGGCTCACTTAGAAGCAATATGGTCTGCTTTGCTTTTTAAAACCTTTCAGGTTCTAATTCAGCCTTTCTAACCTTGGGACCCCAGATGCTGTTGAACAACAACTCCCATAATCCCTATCTGGCAAGACCATTGGTCAGGGGTGATGGGAGTTGTAGTCCAACAGTATCGGGGAACCCAAGGTTCAGAAAGGCTTCTCTGAATTGTCAGGATCAAGGTGTCTGAATGAACACCTTCTCTTCTATCTCCCCCCAATTGGCAAGGAACACCCCACTCAGAATGCCCTGGTCATCTAGTGAAAAGGACAGGATATTCTTCGTGGTGGCTTTCTCCCCTTCTAAAAAGGCCAAACCAGTCAATTCCCTTTCATCTTTTGAAAAATCCTGGGGTGTGAGGCTGCTGAACTGAAGTTGTTTTTATTAATCTGCTGGTTGGACAAATCTATGGATTAATAGTGTTTATACAGACGTTGAATTTTAAGATGCAATTTAAATGCCCAGCCCAACTGCTTCACTAATTCTAGGGTGTATAAGGTGCAGCAGCTGTTTATTTCCAAAACACCAACAAATCTATGCCCCACAATTGTCCATTCCAAGTTCTTTCTCTTTCTCTTTCTCTCTTCTGCTCCTCCACAAGCTGCTGTAGTATTGGATAAGAGAGAGAACAGGATCAGAAAGGGACTAACTGCACAGATTTGCTCTTTTTGTCTTATCTTTATGTAAGTGTTTTGAATCTTTCACTGTAAGCTGACCTGATAAGGCAAGTTTTAATACAAAAAGTAAAAATAAAGAGAAGTTGGGTTCTCCAATGTCCTTCCTGAGGACCAAACTCAAAACACGATGGTAGCAAATCTGTTGTTTAAACCCAGAGCTCCCACCACCAGGAAGAAGCTATATTTTAGCAGCAAAGGGGTTGCATGCGTGGAGAGGAGGGTAGCCCTCCTCACATACAAGGTCTGTCCTCCAAACATCACCTTCTCCACTGCTGAGATCCAGTACGGAAAGTGTACTTAGGGGGAAAGGCAAATTTAACCACTGGTTCTATACCTTCTTCCATTGTGCTTAGCCTACCTCCAGCGAAACCTGTTTATCTGAGCATAAAGCTCATAGATCTACCATATCATACCTAGTTTGACCCTAACGCAATCTGATTTATCTTTCTTTACTGAGATTTTTCACAAGACAGACAAACATCCACACATCATCAAGGCTCAGGACCCTGGACAGATGCCACAGAGCTCATCCAACTTCACAACAAAGACTCACTCACTTCTCTTTGATTTCAGGTAATCCCTTGTTTATTCATGTCACCAACCCCTGCAATATATTTTAATCCCACTCTTACTGTTGTCAAATGGTGTTTAACAAGATATTAATACAGAGCGTATGTGTGCTTGCAAGTATTAAAGCTGCATGCTCTTTCAGAGCAAGGAACACTGTTTACCTTGGCAAAGCAAGATTGGTTTTAGTACTACTGCTCAGAATATACTGCCCTCTACTGAAAAAATATATATATCAGAAATTATGGTACAACCTCTCCAAAATTTGCAGGTTTCTTTCGTTTTAAAAACAATCAACAGACATAGCACCATGTGCAGAGGCAGATCTGGGGGTTGGCCAGCTTGGCCACCACCAAAGGCACAGGCCCGGCAGGGAAGGGGACACAAAAATCAAGCCTCTTCCCTCTGGCTTGGAGTGGCTAGGAGCCTGCCCCACTGGCTGCCTGCTCACTGGCTGCCCTGCCACTGCTCTGGGTGGCTTTGATGGGCACACAGGCACTTCTGGGCGGCTCGGTGGAGGAATCCGGTCACTGGCATGGGCCATCGAGCAGCCCTCCAGGGCTCCCTCCTAAGAGAAAGGCAATGAAAAGCAACACTTTTGAGTTTCTTGTCCATGGTCTCTCCTGGCTTCAGAGGTGCCAGTACATCTCCTTGCCAAGGGCACAAGGGATGTGGGGGGAGCACAAATACACCTCCTTGCCAGTGGTGCAAGGGAGCTTAGGTACATCTCTGACAAGTGTGCAAAAGGCTTCTCAGAATTTTGCATTTTATTTGTGGGCAGAAACATTGGGGTATATTTCATGACATTTATCCAGGGAAACATAAATTCTTAAACAGTTGCTTGAGTGTGAGACTCACCATTAGCAGTGGCAGTAAAACGACTTCTTTTATTTTCTTCCCTCCCAACTGGGGGTGGTGTTGTTTTGGGTACTGCTGCTCTTGCAACTGGCAACAGCAGCAGCAACCATGGGGTTGCAACATGGCCTCCATTTTGCATCCTCCACAATGTCCCAGATCAAGCATGAAGGGGGTGGCACACAAATAAATGGAGATTATTCAGAGGAAATGCAGGTTGGTGAGAAAATGAAATGTCTCTGTAAAAAACATTTGCCTAGGAATTTCTGGGTCATTTTGGCCCAGTTCTAGATACAGTGGTACCTCTGTTTACAAACGCTTCTGGTTACGCACGCTTCAGATTATGAACACCGCTATCCCGGAAGTAGTTGCTCCTGGTTGCAAACTTTGCCCTGGGATGCAAGCAGAAGTCGCGCAGCGGGAGGCGCCATTAGCGAAAGCGCGCCTCAGGATAAGAACAGTTTCAACTTAAGAATGGACCTCTGGAACGAATTAAGTTTGTAACCAGAGGTACCACTGTATCAGTAAACAAACATGTGGCTATCAGGGAATCAGGGCCATCTTCCTCATATTTCATGAAAACAGACTGAGGAGGCCTCACACAAACAATTTGGTTAAAATACATGTTTCCCAAAGGAATAAAAAGAGTGCGAATTTTGTCATGAAACTACCCACGTTACCTGCCTGCACCACCCATGTCACTTAGTTCTCTACATCCCTGTTCATCACTGCTCGTTCACCTGCAAGTCGCTAACTGCTTCTGCTGCCGCTGATTTGGACATCTAATGGCATGTCCATGGGGCAGAGATGTGATATTTCTATGCATTCACCTCGTGTTGATACTAAAAAAAAATTAAAGTTATACCAACAAGAAAATCTTATTAGCAAGAAAAAAAACCATGTCATTTACAACCACACGACTCAGAGAAGCTGGAACTCATTAGAGCAGAGTTTCCCAAACTTGGGTCTCCAGCTGTTTTTGGACTACAACTCCCATCATCCCTAGCTAGCAGGACCATCGGTCAGGGATCATGGGAACTGTAGTCCAAAACTACAGGAACTGTAGTCCTCCCATCCAGGTACTGAACGGGTCCAAACCTGCTTAGCTTCAACAAGGTTGCTGCATTACATGACTTTTAGACTGTAGCCCTGGGACTTCTATACCTTGGGAGGGCTTTCAGTTACTACCCTTTCTTCCTATCTCTTCTCCTCTGACATTCAGTGCAAAAACAATGCGAGCAACTTACACAATTGGAATGTAGTACTCAACTTGTGTAAATGAAGGAAATCAACACATTTATTTAGCCTATTCATCAAAGGGTTCATCATTTCTATTTTAAATTGTCTAGATGTATCTTACCCATTAGTTTCACTCCTAATACTAACTAGCTAGTAAAATAATTTATTTGCTTTAAAGAATTAAGTTACTACTAATACTCTACAATCTGTAAGGACAGGGGTGAGTGGAAAAGTAGTTTCAATTATGCTTAAACTAGAAAATAAAATCTAGTTTTACTTGCTTATATGCAGGATTCAGGCATGTTTGCTTTGACTTGCCTTAATCAGCTTACTGCAGCTGACAGTACTGGCTTATCACCACAATGGAAATGGAAACTAAAAAAGGAATCTCCTGACTGAGTCAAGCACATTAAAAGTAACTTGGTTTAATGTTGTGGAATCAACAGCTCATTACACTTTAACTGTCCCACTAAAAGCATCACATTCCAACTAATGCAATGAGAATTTCAGTGTGAATTTTAAGCAAATGTTTTCAAAAAGGAGCTCAGATTGATCAAGGGTAGTGCTAGATCAACACGGTGAAATCAACAATTGGGTGAGTTACTATTCCCTAGCAAAAGCCATGCCCCTCCTCCCTGCAATGGGATAGAATAACAGCCCATGAAAGAAAAGGATTTAAGCTGATTGTAGGCTTTGTGGCCCCCTGCCAGTGCTCACCCCAGAATAGCAAGGGAGTCTAGCCCAGTGTGCCAGCTGAAACGTAAAACAAAGCAATCTTGACTGTTTGTTAATGAATGGCTCTGAGGTCCTGCCGCATGCCAGTCAGAAGTCTCCCAGGACAGGCCTGAGAAACTGTGCTGCCCAGTCTACTTTTATTCTGCAGCCACCTCAATGTTTGTGTGGCAAGACCCCATGATGCTATTTAGATGCTTGCATGCCAACAATGCTCAGCCGCAGCCCGAAAAGTGATATGCTCAAATCGCCACGGGGATTAGCTGTTGATATTGAAGATCAGGGACAGCCATATCCAAAGACAATTGCAGTAGAAGACCCGTCTGGCTATTGTCTGGGATTGTTCCAGTAAGCAGAGCTGGGGGGGGGGGTCTCAGTCCTCTGGCCAGGGAGACCAGAGCTATTCTGCCCCTTACTCTCGATTTAGAAGGGCAGCGAGAATGGCAGGCTGGGTAACTGTTCTATGGCTGCTCTTAAAGGAACTGCAGGTGGGTTGGATGACAGAGAAATCAGGTTTCTGAAACAGTCCACATCTGGAATCATAGCAGGAAAACAAAGATCTATACAGTCTTCCCTGTTATTCATTCATCCTCTTCATACATAAAAAACCAAGTCCTCCCAGGCACTTGATTTCCCAGCTCGCCCTTTCCTTTTCCTTTGCCCAAGAAAGAATTTGATTCTGTGAGAGGATGTTTGCTGCCGTAACCAAATCACACAGACAAATAGCTCCCCTTGTCCCCTTTGCCTTCAAGAAGCAAAGCGTGATGGAGTTAAAGCACACTCCTTTGTTTCTGCATAGCTGCAAATTTACTTTTAACATGGCCTTTGGCATTTTGGAATTAATATGCAGAACCCAATTCTGCAAACTTCAAATCATTCTGCCCATTATGGATAATCAGGTGGTGAAATTCAGACTGCAGGGTGGGTTCTTATTTTGAATGTTTCCCATGTAAAAAACGTCCTACCTTGTACATCAAGGGCTGGGGCTGGGCAAATCTTTATCCCACTTTTCTAAACAAAGTGTTTTTTTAAGAGAGGGAGCTTTAAAAAATACAGAACTACACTTGCCATCCGAAGAGACACAGCCCAGAATTCTGTCATGTCAGCCTATCGTCTCATTCTGCATAAGGAGTAGAATACTGATGTTCTTTGTCTACAATTGTTAAAAGCAAAACTGTGGAAGTATTTCTAAGAAGCCACCTGACTGCCATCCCAACCCAGAACTACCAAGTCCAGTCCGTCCAAGTGTAAGAACAGGATCTGAACAATTGGATTAAGGGAATTAAAAGCAGCTCAGTGTGAGGTCAAACACATCACTCACTTTTATTAAGCATGCCTGAAAAACAGTAGTCCAATGCCCTAAAGAATCACCTCAAACAGACATGATAAAGGAGCTGTAGAAAAAATTGCATCAGGGTCTTATTTGTGTTGTTAAGGCTGGGTGCAAACATATGCAGTGTATCTGAAAAACAGACATGAAAGTTGCTCTGTATCTTCTCAACCATCCACAGAACGTCTTAGCTAAATATTCTGAAGTTCTCATTTCCTTTAGCTCCTCTTCCACAAGCTCACAAAGCTGTCCTGCCAACAGCTCCCCAACTTGGATTCTGTGACTGAGATCAAGCAAACCAACAGGGCATGAACCCAACTTAATACCATTTTACACCTTCAAAACTAGGCAGGCAATATTAGATGGCATGCGATATTGGAAGACATTTATAGGCAATGCTGCTACCTATTAATAAAGTCAATTAAAATAACAGCATGGCTCCTTTCTTTCTGGTGTGGTGTCTGCTGAAGTATATCAGCCTGTTCAAAGAAAAATGATTCCTTGTGGAAAGTGTCTTTGTGGTACACTTTGCTTCTTCCCCCATCAAACCACGTGACTCTTCCTACCTAACGTCTGCTCTGTTTAGTCAAAAGTTGACAGAAAAAGAACATTTAACATTTCACTCTTTGTAGCTTATTTAATAAAACAGTGGCAAACACACAGAAACATCTGAAATGTGCAAGGCAAGGGAGGAGTCCCTTTCTCTTTTTAAAGAAAACTTGTTCCTGGAACCCTTTGGCAATGAATCAGACCTTCTGCTGGTGGAAAATTCAGGGAAGAGAAACACGGGCCTCTTTGCACAACTCTTTGTCACTTTCCCCTGCAAGTCTGAGACTCAACGGCAACATCTAAACTTACAAACAAACAAAAAGTTGCCATAGCCTTGAATGAAACTTTGCAGAATAAAATATTCTTGGGAATGCCCACTAAGACTTTCAGAGGATCATAAAACTTTTAATGAGGCACTCTGACTTTTTTCTTTTAACCCTCATTATCCTGCTTTTAGCAACTAAACAGAGTAACTTTACAACTCCTCATTACTGCTGAAAGTTACAGGGTGGCTGTTTACTGCCCAACCCCTGAATGCTTGTCAGCGAAGGAGCTCCGCTAGACTGCCTGACCCCAAGAAATGACAACAACAAAACAAAAGCAGCTCTTCTTTCTCTAGGGGTGTTTAGCTTCCTATTGAAACAGGGATACGCATACAAAAGAGCAGGTGACAAGTTCTCTTGCTTTTCAAAGTGTGGCTTTGTGAAACTTCTGCAATGTGATCCTAGAATCATTGACTCACGGAATTGTAGAGTTGGAAGCGACCCCAGGGGTCATCTAGTCCAACCCCCTGCAGTGCAGGAATCTCAGCTAAAGCATCCATGACAGATGGACACCCAACCTCTGGTAAAATACTTCCTTGGGTGAGTCTGTTCCACTGTCAAACAGCTCCTACTATCAGAAATTTTGTCCTGATGCTTAGTCGCAATCTCCTTTCTTGTAACTTGAAGTTGTTGGTTTGAGTCCTGCCATCCTAAGCATGTTTGCTTAGGGTAAATGAGACTTACTTCTCTAATGAGTGTGCTTAGGAGTGCAGTCCTCATACAGATTCCTGTGATGTGGCCAAAGCATTTCCCCTTGATGTAAATCTCCTTTGTTAACTGGCCTGACTAGCACTGAGGATCAAAAGCACTGACTGTCGCCCGCAGCCCATTTCTGCTGAGAGTCCCTTGACACGTGCAATGTCATCCCAAAACACCACAGTGCATTTGATGTGCACACCCCCAAGGACATGTGGTCAGCATTGTAGCTCTGCAGGCTGATGCCATGCACGCTTACTCAGAAGTAAGCCCCACTTTCTTCAGTGTGCATGGTAGTGCCACCTGGGTCCCTATCAATAGGGCTACAGGCTGCAATTCCAGGCACTTCATTATTATTATGCCTTTCTGACCTGCCCCACTGACCAACCCAAAATCATGCATTTGGAAAGGGACGTGCAGCCCAAGTGCTGCAACTCGCTTGGCGATCAGGCTGCCCAGCCGGCAGCCCCAACGAGGAAACTCTCCCGAAGGAAGATGCCCGCCCCGGGACGCCCTCCATCCGCTCTGGCGGCGCAGCGACGAGGGCGACGCCGATATCCGGAGAGGAGCGCCGCGGGAAGCAGCGCGGCTCGGCTGGCCCGGCGCTCCGCTTCTCGCCCTCCCTGGCCAGAGCCGCGCTCGGCTCCGCAGACGGAGAAGGGACCTCGCTCGCCGCCGCCGCGCACAAAGACATTCCGGGCCGATGGCCGGCGCCGAACAAAGAAGCCTGGCGGCGGGACGCGCCCGGGCAAGCCGCCCTCCCTTCCCTTCCCTTCCCTTCCCTACCTCGCCGTCTCCGCGCGCCTCGCTCGTCCTCTCGGGGCGCCGCTCGCCAGGCACTGCGCTCTCGGGCCGCCGGCCGCGCCGCTTATATCGGTGCGTGCGGGGCTGGGCCGGGGCGCGCGCGGCGGGAAGGCGCCTCTAGGGGGCAGCTCGGCCCACGGGCCGCCCCACAGCCCCGAGGGGGCCGGCTCGCTCCGCGCCCGCCCCGCCCCGCCCCGCGCCCTCCCTCCGCCGAGCTGCGCGCGGGCCGGGAGCACCTGCATCCTGCGGGAAAAAAGCGAGCAGCGCCAGGCGAGGAGCGCGCGATCCTTGCAAGAGGGGGAGGCGCCCCGCGCATTCTTCTTTGTCACCGGAGGGAAAGCGGCGCATCTGCAAATCCTAAATCCTCCCGCCCTGAGGAGGATCCCGGTCCTTTCAACTCCGCGGGTCTGGTTTCCCCATCCAAGGGCAGCCTTAGGATCACGTTTCGCAACGTGCGCTTGTCCGGAAGGCTGCGATTTTCATTTGCGAGTCGTTCTCAGTAAGCGGCATGTGCTGAACTTGGAGCGCGCAGCTACTTCGCCAAAGCGGCATGGAAACTCTTCGCGGCTCCGGAACATTTCACTTGCTTCAAAGCACTTCGCGTACTTTAGCTCGGTCGACAAACTGGTCAAGTAGATCATTATTAATGCTCCCGCCACGTTACAGAGACAGAGCAGTGTACCAAAGGTGAGTCCATGGCGGAAATAAGATTCTAACAGATCAATATCTGACATGATATTATAAAAGAGTGACAAATCAGGCAGGTGCTCTTGGAGGGCCTTAATCATAGCTGTCAACTTTTCCCTTTTCTTGCAAGGAATCCTATTCGGGATAAGGGAATTTCCCTTTAAAAAAGGGAAACGTTGACAGCTATGGCCTTAACCCATCCTCCACATGCCAGTTCTCCCATTTTTATTGCCATCACTCCAGTCTGCTGTTACTATCATTTATTTTTACTATTTTATTTCATTTGTTATCTTGCCCAAGGCAATCCAAAGTGACTTATAGCCAATCAGCTATTTGGTTCACTTGAATGAATGTGTGTACATTTCCCACATGAAACAAATAGCAGGCAGCAGTGGGGTGTTAAATCAGGAAAACTGCATGTCTGAATGCCCCACCTGCACCCCGCTCCAAACTACAGCATTGATCCGTGAGTGCCAGTGGTGCCAGGTGCCAATTCGGACTGGGGGCCCAACAGCAAGGGGAGCCAAGGAAAATGGCAGCCACACACACGGAGGCAGTCAGATGGGCTGAGGGCAGAAGGGTGGGGCAGTGCCCCCTTTGCTCTAACAGACAAACCTCCACTGCTGCTTTGATCTTTAGGAAACTAAACTAACACGTTTCCTTGGGCACTTAGCAGCTATGGCACACCAGCTCTCAAGGTGTGTCAAGGGTCTGGTGAGGTGGGGGGAAGAATGCTCTCCCAACATCACCAGAAATTGGCTCAGAATGCGGGTGGCGCTGTGGGTTAAACCACAGAGCCTAGGACTTGCCGATCAGAAGGTCGGCGGGTTTGAATCCCCACGATGGGGTGAGCTCCTGTTGCTCGGTCCCAGCTCCTGCCAAGCTAGCAGTTCGAAAGCACGTCAAAGTGCAAGTAGATAAATAGGTACCAGTCCTGCGGGAAGATAAACGGCGTTTCCATGCACTGCTCTGGTTCGCCAGAAGTGGCTTAGTCCTGCTGGCCACAAGACCCAGAAGCTGTATGCCGGCTCCCTCGGTCAGTAAAGCAAGATGAGCGCCGCAACCCCAGAGTCGGCCACAACTGGACCTAATGGTCAGGGGTCCCTTTACCTTTAATGCAATCAAACACATAGGTGAAGATCCAGTTGCCACCCTCTGATACTAACTAATAATAAATATTCTTTTTCCAGTAATTAGAAAGCGGAAAGTCTGCCAGAGAAGTGCTGGAGGACAAAGGTGCAAAGGAGAACCGAAGGAAGACAGATTCTTTGCCTCTGTCTTCATTGTGAAAGTTAGCTAGAGAGATGCTCATACGCCACAACCTGCAGCCTTGCTTCCTGGCAGTGTAGCTGAGACACCAAACGGCAAATAAATGTGACAAAGGATAAAGCCTGAGCTGTGTTTCCAGTAAATGGGAAGCAAACGTGACAAAGGCCACAACGGTTACAACACATGCAGAAGGGCAGCGAGACTTGCAGTTGATGAGTCAGCCATGGCTTCTGTGAGGGGAAGCATCGGCTCAACGACACCGGCCTTTCAGAACGACAACAAACACTCTGGTCCAGTGGGCACGGGATTCCTGAATGTGAAGCATAAACAAATAAACCAGAAAGCAGATGGCAGGCATAAATCTTATTATAAAACAGCACAAAGCAGTTGCTTCAGGCAGCAGATTTCCAAGCAGGAGGGCAACCAGCCTCAAATCTCTTTTTCTGTTCCATTAAAAATGAAAACAAAACCAAGTTCCATTCAAGAATAGGGGCAGCCACAATTCTGACATTTTGATTTGGGCTTGACAATGGCTTATTTCCTGCAATAAAAGGAAATAAACTGCAGGATCCCCAAGGATCTCTGCATGACATTATGGACTATTCTGCATTAATGTACCTGTTGAGCACCATAAGTGAAAACTGTTGAAAACTGCTGCTGAGCATTCAGCAGATCATACAGCGGTAAATGAACAATCAGGTGGAGGGTCATGAAGGACAAATATAATTCTTCTTTTTAAAAGAAAAAGGGAAAAAGAAAAGCTGTAGCAAAAGAGCTTAAGCAGGATATGATTTCATAAGCAGAACAACTCACACACCCAGTTTTCCCCAAAAGTAGGTGGTTGGTCATCACAGGAACAGAAATGACCTGTGTATTTGTTCTGGTCTTCTGGAGGTGTAGTTTGATATGTGACATGCTTTCACCAACCTAAAAGGAAATAATAAACCTTTTGACATGCAGGCACACTAAAACAAAAAAACCCAGCTCAGATATCCGAAATAAAAATTGAAAAGCACCATATAGCAGACAGTGGAGTGTTTAATGAGTAATGTACACAAGCAGCCCAGAAGCACAAAGGTGTACAGCTGTGCACACACCAGGCCTTTAAAGCACATGGGAAGCACAGTTTCCCCCTCCCAAGAATTCTGGGCACGGTAGTTCATTAATGGCGGCTGTGGATTGTAACTCTTGAGAGGTAAGCCAGTTGCCATACACATAAAGCTGAATGCGCACAAGTTACAGGCACAGGAGCTGTGGGCTTGCTCTGTTCCAAATGAGGAGAACTGTGCACAGGTCCTTCAAAAATGCAGAAACAATACAATTCCCATGAAAATGAGTGACGTCACGCATGGCATGTATATAATAAACTCCTGACAACCCGTTCTTGTAGGGGGGAAGCAGCTCAGAGAGTGGGTAATCTGAAGCAGAGAAACATCCAAGGAACAAGGACCCTGAGCCAGGACCCTGCCAACCACACTTCCATTGCCGCTCCTCCAAGCTGCCTTCCCCCTTGCAGAGTTCCAGGTGTGCATCAGAATTGTTCATAAATCTCCTTGGAGTGGACAGCTCAAACCCAGTTAACACCACATAGTGTACAGTGTTTCCCAAACTTTAGTCCCCAGCTGTTGTTGGACTACAACTCCAATCATCCCTGACCACCGGTCCTGCTAGCTAGCGATGCTGGGAGTTGTAGTCCAACAAGAGCTGGGCCCCTAGGTTTGAGAAACACTGACTGCATGGGGAAGAAACAGGTATCAAGAATGAGCACAGAAGGGTTTTAGTCCTAACTACAGAGGCCTACAGGGACGCGGGTGGCGCTGTGGGTTAAACCACAGAGCATAGGACTTGCCTATCAGAAGGTCAACGGTTCGGATCCCCGCAACAGGGTGAGCTCCCATTGCTCGGTCCCTGCTCCTGCCAACCTAGCAGTTCGAAAGCACGTCAAAGTGCAAGTAGATAAATAGGTCCCGCTCTGGCAGGAAGGTAAACGGCGTTTCCGTGCTCTGCTCTGGTTCGCCAGAAGCGGCTTAGTCATGCTGGCCACATGACCCGGAAGCTGTACGCCGACTCCCTCGGCCAATAAAGCGAGATGAGCGCCGCAACCCCAGAGTTGGTCACCACTGGACCTAATGGTCAGGGGTCCCTTTACCTTTACAGAGGCCTGCATCACCTGGAGACAAGGACCACTTGACCTTGCTCCTTATTTTGACCACTATTTTTTTATCCCACCCTATGATGTCATATGGAGAGACTTATGGTTCTCACCCAGCTCTGTTTCATCCTCCTTTCAGGTAGGTTAGGCTGAGAGAGAGCCTGAGAGATCTGAGCTTTGTGGCTGAGCAGGGATTGGGATCCTGGTTCAATGGCCTAACCACTGCGGCTTTCTCTGTGGTAGACACCCCTGCTGCTAGTGCTCATGACGCCCATTCATTTTTGGAACAGGAATCAGACCAGGGTCCATCTAGCCCAGTACTGTCTACCCTGACGGGCTGTGGCTCTCAAGGGTTTCAAACAGAAGACTTCCTTTTGCCTCCTTTTGGGGAAACGCCATTTTGGAGACTCGTAATTATATGCCACAGTTTACTGATTTTCTTTCCAAGAGGTATCGTTAACAAACAAGCATGAACATGCTGGATGCAAGGGCACAAATAGGGGGAATTATTTTGCTTGGGTGAACTCATGGCTCAGCCTGCAGTTGTCCCTTCTTCATGAGGCCTAGGAAGCAACCATTTTTAGGATCTTTAGTGTCTGCTGCCAGTCAAATGAGGCCACGCTTCAAAAACACTCAACCATCACCGGAAGAATGGCATTCGGTACCAAAGTTATGAATCTGCCCAAAGACCAAAAGCATCCCTGCAAGAGAGTTTGTGTATTTGCAGATTCCGTATCAGCACCTTGAATCGTTTAGCTCCATTTGTAGTCTCAGGATCAGTAAATAACACACTGATAGCTGGCTTATTTAAAACAAGGATAGTTTCTTGTAATCTTTAACTAACGTCTTCAAAAGATATACACAGTTCTAAGTTCTCTGCCCTGTTATATGGCAAATCTTTGACACCACATTCTTTTGTGCTAGGAATATAGACAATCCCAGATATGAAAAGTTATCAGACCCTCAGATTCACAAGAGGTTTGTATAAATCATGAAATTTGAAAGTACAGAAATCTTTTACTTGCCTTTAGTATTTTGAACATTTTGAATATACCATATTCAAACTTATTTTTTAGGCTCACAAATGAAGTTGGTCACAGTGTACGTATTTAACTGAAGGGCTGAATCCAGTTTGTTCAAACCTACCTGTGGAAAATGAGATTGCCACATATTCAGCTCAGAAATTTTGTTATTTATTGGTCACTGTTTAATTAGCATATTTAATGCAAGTGTTTGTTGTCATGGCAACAACCACATGTGTTCACAATTCCCATTTGTGGTCAAGAGGAAGCTGTAGCTCTTATTGGGCAAATATATTTTTGTTATTTATTATTATTTTTAGGATAATTTTCAGTTATGTTAGATCTTTCCACAAATATACAGGGTTTCTGCTTCAGTGAATAACTCAGAAAGATATTGATTCTGTATATTGTCTGAGTTCCACATTTGGTTGGCATACAGATTGAGAATTAACGCTGAAATATAATTATTTGCTCAAAGAAATTCCATGCCTAAAGTGGAATATGAACAGATCTAGCACTCATTCTTGGAAACGTAAGACTTACTGCAATCCTAGAAATACTTACCTGGGGTAAATCCTATTTCATTTAATATAGATGTCCCTAAAATTGTGCTGTTACTCAAAATTAATACTAAGCATCTTTGATCTGACATGAAGATTCTGTAAAGTGCTGGAAACTGGAATCTGTTCTATCTACATTGAACTTGACTTTTGTTCTGTAAGGTCAAAATGCATCTATATCTCACCATTCAGCCTCTAAAATGCATTCTCCTTTGAATGAATGTGCACACAAATCTTTTCACAACTCCAGTGAAGTTCCTCCATAGACAGAAAGACTCTTCATAAAATGGAGCCTCTTTCACATAGAGAAAGAGAAAGAGAAAGAAGTATTTCTCTCAAGGGAGGGAGGGAGGGAGAGGGGGGCAAAAGGCTTAACTATTTTCCCTTGGCACCAAAATCTGAAAAGATTCTACAATGGAGGATAACAAACACACCTGTACTCCTGGACCAAATGACAGAAAAGCAACATGGGGTTAAAAAGAATTGCCAGTTCCAATCAGCTCAGGGCTCTAGTGGCTGTTAGGGAACTAAAAGCAAAGCATTCAGAACATCCCACTTAAAAACAAGGAATGTTGCAATGTACCAACTTATAAAAACGTCAAGATGCACACACTTTCTGCTGTACAATTAAATCCAAAGCACACTTCAATTACTCAACAATTTCCTCCCTAGGGAAAATACCAGCTAAACAGTGAGATGCAAGTCAAGCACACCTACACAGCGAAGCTTTTGAAACAGCGCTGACAGCTATAAAACGCCCAACCAGTACATGTGGATGGCATGCATATTGAATAAAGCAATTCTGTCCCACTAACATGGTTAACTTTTTGGAGGATGTGGGAGTAAGAACAGAAATACCTTGGTTTGAAATTTTATTTTGCAGATTTTAACAAACTCATTTTTAATAACAAATAAGCATTGTGAATAAGCATTAATTTAAATCATGCCTGCCAGCTGTTCTTGAACATGCTGAAGCTCTAAATAAATATTACATAAATGTTAGGCTTCTTATATAGGCCTGGGGTGATTATTCAGTTCAGTCCTTTGCTCAAGAGGTGTTTTTTTGTTTTGTTTTGTTTTTTACTGAATGCTCACTGAATAGAACATTCAGATAGATGCTCCAGCACAACCGGGAAGTGGGGAAACTCCACTTCCAAAACTCCAAAACTGTGTGGGACAATCCATCCTGAAAAGTTTATATACAGTACAGTAGTACCTCAGGTTAAGAACTTAATTCGTTCCGGAGGTCCGTTCTTAACCTGAAACTGTTCTTAACCGGAGACAGCACTTGAGCTAATGGGGCCTCCTGTTGCCACTGCGCCGCCGGAGCACGATTTCTGTTCTCATCCTGAAGCAAAGTTCTTAACCCGAGGTACTATTTCTGGGTTAGCGGAGTCTATAATCTGAAGCGTCTGTAACCTGAAGCGTCTGTAACCCGAGGTACCACTGTATATGAATTTTAGAGTAGGAAAGAACCCAGTGATCTTAAAAATCTCAGTTATGACCAAACAAACATACAACAGGATAACGGGAGGTGCTGCAAAAATGTTAATTTTACAGGGGCCTTGAGAGTGAGGTGTTGCTGCCAAAGACCATGCTTCAAATCCTAGTTTAGTTATAGTGATGAATTAGTAAAGTCACAGGCCAGAGAGGGGTAATCCATGCATGGGGGGGGGGGAATGTATTTCTGCATATGCATCACCCCAATATATGCAAAAGAGGTTACTGGCACCCCCAGTAACACACAGAAGGGAAGGAGCACAGCCATGCGCTGACTGCAGAAGGTCCCATGCTCCATCCCTAATATCTCCAGGCAGGGGAAAGACCTGGGAAGCCACTGCCAGTCAATGGCCAGCCATCATGGTATAAGGCAGCTTCCTATGGAAGTACAGCAGCTTTAAGATACCCCTTCACTCCCAGCTTCCTTCAGTGATGCTGGAATCAGATATGCAAGCGAAATCCATGGCTCCTCATCCCACAGAGAAAGGCACACTGGCATACTTACAGAGTATGTGGATGACAATCTCAAGACCTTAGCCCTACTCTCACACCCATCACTGCCCACCTCAGCTAGTTCCAAAAAGGACCTTTCTTACATTGCTGTCTTCAGTTTGTCTCAGATTAAAAAAAACTACTCCTGAATCTTAGACTGAATTAAACAGAAGTATATACAGGTAAGGTAAAGGGACCCCTGACCATTAGGTCCAGTCGTGGCCGACTCTGGGGTTGCGGCGCTCATCTCGCTTTACAGGCCGAGGGAATATATACATACGTTCTATTGTATTAGTATTAGACCAGGAGGAGGGAGTAACTGATACCAAACTTTTAAATTAAGCATGAAATTCAAAGATTAAAAGGACACATTTGAAATGAGTGCAGAAATTTGACCCGTTTCTAAGAATATGAGGAAAGAAAAAGAAAACTTAACAAGCCATTTTATACAGTGCAAATGCTGCTGATTATACAGAACCCTTTCTGCTCAATAGGTTTTTCATGGCACTTCCACAACAATCTCTCTCTCTCACACACACACACACACACAGAGAGAGAGAGAGAGAGAGAGAGAGAGAGAGAGATTACGATGGCAATGTGATGCACATTTATGCAGGACGAAGCTCCAAGAAAAATGCATCAGGACTTGCTTCCAAGTGAAGATGCATAAAGGGCAAGTCTCCAAGCCTGTGCACATTTATTTGACAGCCTACCTGATTTAACTCAGAGGCACTTAACTTCAGATCAAACATGCATAGAATTAGCCTCATAAACACAAGATCAAACTGAATATCCAGCTCCTTTGTCCGTCAAGAATAGCTTCTTGCTGTTTCATATTGGAATGTTCTATCCCAAATCACTACTACTCTCTCTTGCATCATTCCGGTTTCTCTTCAGTCTATATTAAAGGAGGGGAAATGAATGGAAGAGTATGGGTTTATTGTCATTCTAGTGAAAATGTTTGATGACTAATAGTGCTAGATTTTATCTAAGCTAATGCCTGCTGTACCGTGTTTCTATTCTGCAGGGCATTACAGTACAAGATGGCCAAAGGAATTTAACTCTTGCCCCCAAGCGGGTCTAAGTCAAGTTAAGCACCCTCTCCCACAAATGTCAGGCAATCCAAAGTGAGTGCTCTTCTACTGTGTCCTTTATGCCAGTGGATTTCCTTTTCAGATGGAAAGGAAATAGTGAAAATGGAAGGAAACTGTGGAGCACATTGCCTGGCTTTTGTTGGTTTCTTCCAAACCCTTACAAACCTGATTGAAGGCTGCTGGAAACCTTTAGGTGAGTTTTATTCAGACATTGTTTACCTTAGACTGTCTCTCTCCAATGTCCTACAGTGGTGGCCACCGGCACACCCAACCTCCCTGAACAAAGCTGTGTCAGCCAGAGCACACAATTCTTCATCTCCCTTTAAAATGACCTATGGAGCTTCTAGCATTTTCTTACTTTTTTATTTAGTCACACTTCACATTTCTAAGCCAGATAATCTTTTGGGTAAAAGGATTCACCACACCAGAATAAGAGTTTGAGCTTCTGCAGGATTAATATCAATGAGCACGAAACACACGGATGCCGAAGCACTGCTAAGAACAGTGGGAACTGAGCTGAGATGTGGGGTGTAATCCATTGGAATAGTCAAGTACAACACTCCTTGTTTCCCTAGAATGGTCCCAGGCAGAAGGATGTTATTCCAGTCAGTGTAACTTCCTGTTCCACTGGTCTGGAGCATCCTCTACCTGCATGTGATCTGAGAGATGAGCGTGACTCCATAAAAGAGCCGAGTCACACAACCATTTTCTCTCTCTTGATCTCTCTCGCGCGCTGATCTCTTGCTTGCTGCTCTCCTGAAGCCATTTTGTTCTGTCTGCTGGCTCTCAGCCAGCAGCACATGATCTCAATCTCCGTACAAGATGAACTCACAGATTGTTATGTAACTACTAAGTACAGTGGTGCCTCGCAAAACGAAAAGAATCCGTTCCGCGAGTCTCTTCGTCTTGCGGGTTTTTTCGTCTTGCGAAGCAAGCCCATTAGCGGATTAGTGCTACAGTATTAGCGGCTTAGCGGGCTTAGTGGATCAGCTGATAAGCGGCTTAATGATAAGCTGATAAGCGGCTTAACGATAAGCTGATAAGCGGCTTAACGATCAGCTGATAAGCGGCTTAACGATAAGCTGATAAGCGGCTTAACGATCAGCTGATAAGCGGCTTAGCATCAGCTGTTAAGCGGCTTAGCCATCAGCTGATAAGCGGTTTAGCGGCTTGGGAAAAAGGGGGGGGGAAAGGAAAAAAACCCCGCAGGAACTCGCAAGACATTTTCGTCTTTCAAAGCAAGCACATAGGAAATTCGTTTTGCGAAGCACCTCCAAAACGGAAAGCCCTTTCGTCTAGCGGGTTTTCCGTCTTGCGAGGCATTCGTCTTGCGGGGCACCACTGTACAGTAAAGCCGGCCTTTCAGGAATCAAATCGTGAAGTCAAATGTGAGTAAACTTC